GATGAGTCAAGACTGGAGTGAATTTACAGTCGACTTGACTGATGAAAAAAAACTTTTTAACAACAAATCAATCATAGATTCATCATTTAAAGTAACGTAACATGATCCTGCTCCACCTTCTCAAATCAGAGAATTTGCTGCTTTTTCAGGTTTTATTTGTCAGTGCAGTCGGTCAAACCAAACATTGTTTGACTGTTTGGCTCATAGAAACCAAGACACCCGGTCACATCATCAACCTGAGCAGCATACTGTAGGTGAATAACTCTTGCTTTTTATTTTGAACATTTAAGCTTCACAATCCAGGAGGGCAACACGGCACAGGAAGTGCTGCAGGTGTCGTTCTCAGGAATAAGAGAGGGCGGTTATCCTTTTTTTGTCTGGGTGATGCCACATGAGCCACATTACACCCCTATCATAGTTTAACGTACGTGTGATGATGTCCACTACGTTGCCATTTAGCACCAGTCTTTCAGACCAAACAAACTGAGAACATGAGATTTGTTTTGCTTTACCAATAGAACTGCTAAAGAGAGAGAGGGAATGTGGGGAGATGAGAGTGGGGTAGACATGCATCAAAGAGCTGTGGACGGAGACTATACTGTAGCCTCCGTATATCAAGCGGCTGCTCTACTGACTGAACTGAATTAGCACTCTTTGTCTTAAGAATTTGCAGCACACACAAATGTAACAAAAATACATGTTTAACAATTGAGCAGCAACTGTTTAACCTTTTCTGTCTGAATGTAGTATTAGAATTTTGTAATCAGTGGACGGTCATCAAAAGACAAAGTCTGTGAAGACAGAGAGGACTAGCAGTGGAAGCAGCATCATTGTCAGAGGATACAGGTGTGCACACTGCAGCAGATCAGCCAGGTAGCTGTTACACACAGTTAGAGGTCGGTCTTATTGAACATATTTTATTTTACCAGGAAGTCCCATTATAATTAAAAATCTCTTTTACACGAGACCCAGCTAAGCTAGTAGCTTTGGTGTTATTGTTATTTGATAATAATAGAAGAATAGCTGTAATAAGAGTTTGACATATGGACCAATAGAAGTCAATGTAGTTAAGACAGCGAGGCATTGTGGGTCAGGAGTCAAGTATAAATGACTGATGTACGTTACACGGTTGTCCCAGTCATATGTGTTCTTCATTGTTTAAAAACACGACAGTAGTCAATCACAAACATGTTAAAAGACACCATAACACAACATGGAAACATTTTTACCATTTTAGACTCCACATTTATCAATTGATTGAATGATAAAGAGGCACTCACAAATATTTAAATTAATATTCATTAGTTATTTTTCAAGAAATGATTATGCAACACTTTGAATAATAGAGTCGATAAGAAGTCTTTCAAAACAGTTCTCTAGATTCAGATGTTTAAAATGAAAATATTTGCTGATGTTTGTAGTATGTAAAGTCAAAAGAGGTCAGACAACGCGATCAATAGCAAGACTCTTTATTTTCAATTAAGTAAATTTGATACATTTGATAATTGTTTGCTTTACAGATTTACAATGAGAGTCAGATTTTACACCAAAAGGACAACAACTATTTGGCTTCTTTATGATTTGATTGTGTGATTGTGATTCAATTCCTTTGTTTTTTATGATAGTAAACTGAAAATCTGTTCCTAATATCCTAAAACGTGTCGTGTCTGATGAGAGATCATCAATGACAGTGTCACTTTTGTAGTCTCTTGAAAAAAATATATTTCATTGAATAATTCCTCTTCATTTTGATTGACATGTATACATAAATAAACATACAACAGTGTAAAGGCTGTAAACCTGCTCAGCTCTGCTGCTCTTTGTAACATGATGATGTGTGGGCTGTGGACGTGTGTGTGAGCAGCCTGCCATGACATGTCTGTGGGAATACATACTGTATGTGATACATGTGTCTATTTGTATATGTACTCGTCTTCATGTGTGGCATGTTTCTGTCTGACGCAAAGACATTTATTTTTTCATTGTGTATGTATTTCTGTGTGTGTATGTATAGGTATGTGTGTGTGAGTGTGTACTGTACACACAGCCGTGCACAAATAGCTCCTGAGGGCCCTCGCGATCACAGACTGCCAAAAGGAAAAGGATTTCCGAGAGGTTTCCTTCTCGCTATTTAAAGTGGGAGCCCTGTGGGACATGTTTGGCATTCTCATCCACTCACTGAAGATGGCCTGTGATCTAAAGCCACTAACAGGCTCGGCATGCTCCGTCTCTGTCTCTCGCTCGCTCTCTCTCCCTTTCTCTTTCCCTCTGGCTCTCTGAAGTGATTACCCTGCTTGTGATTCCACTGACACCCACATGCCCCCCTGAGACGTGCCTTCACCAGTTTGTTTAATCTGCCTCCCTGTACAGTAGGTAACGCAGCCATAATTGAGGTGTGGATGGAGCCGTGGGAACACATGAAACCAATAGCAGGTTTTATGAAAAACCTGTCTGCGCTACAAGTCGCTCTGGATGACAGCAGTCGCTAAATTAGTGAACAAAACGATGTCATGTAATCGCCTTTAACTGCAATCTGACAGTCGTTTGTTCCCTAATGTGTCCCCAGTCAATACACGATGATTCCTGTACTGAAAGAGTCACAAATATTGCTTCTTTAATAAGGATTTTGACATGTTTCTGGAAAAGTTGTATATCAAGTCATTTGTGAAAGAACTTTTCTTCTCAGTTTCCGCCGCGGTTGACAGTGAGATAATGAGTAATCTGAGATTAGAAAACCATTAGCAGGGGCCTCACAGTCAAGCACATATTTGATCTCAACAACATATGAACTCCAAACGTTGTTTCTGATACCTGAGACAGATTCTGCTTTACACTCTGTTTGAATTTTTTGATATGAAAACAGAAAGTGGAACTGTGAAAATGCAAGCATCAGATACTCTATCTCCCCCCGGTTAGTGTCTCGCCTCTGTCTGTAACACGCCTGAACCGCTCTGTTCAGAAACATACAGAGTGTCAATCAATGCCCAAATCAGCCGTTAGATGAAGCACACACAAAAAAAAGAGAAAAGTAACAAAAAACTGATCCGTACAACTGAACTTGAATTAATTAAATAAAACCGTGTATCACGCTTCCTCTGTGAGATTACATCTGTCCTCAGATGTGTTAAAAAATAAAACATTCTCAGATATCTTTTGAAAGCCTATTATTGTAAGATACCAGTAATTAAATTGACAGTGTTATTAATTGGGTTGAAGATAAGTTGCATTGAGTCGAGGACATCTTAAACTCAATTAAAGATATCTCTGAGTCAATTAAAGATATTCAAATGCCATGTCCCGCAGTATGCAATCAGGCTCTTTCTGGCGCAATAATATCAGTTCACTTGTGCCCCTTTTACAAAGACTTTAGTTGTACTTCTAAAGTTTTCTTTTTATCACTTAAAGCCTGATTTTCTTCTCTTTTTTTTTTTTGAAAGATGTCGTCCATGTCACACTTTAGTGATGTCTATAGTTTCTTTAATGTGGCATGATTATAGTATTTAATCCTCCCTTATCCAGTGTTTGAAATAGAAATGAAGATTAGGCACTTCTGACAGCAGGAACTGAAGCTATTAAAGGGGTAGTTCAACATTTTGAGAATCATTTGGTGTGAGTTGAATGATGGACAACAGCTCAGGGGGTTAAAGCTGTGGTTGAACACATCCCAGCAAGCACACAACCCTTCAGGCGGAAATGATCCAAAACATTTAACACAAACATCTTCAACCTTAACACTTGATCTGTCTTAAGCCACTGATTACTTGACATTTGATTATGCTTTAAGTTAGGCTTGTTTATCAATCAAAATCACCAACCGTGAACTGTTTCCAGCCTGTTTAATGTGGTGATTTGCTGATTTTCTCTTCTTGTTTGTGTATTTTTATTATTTATTTAATAAATTTTTTGCCGCCTGCAGAAAAGGCGCAGCACTCATTGTCCTTTTTCTGAGCCGGTTCCTTTTTTGAGCGGCCGCTCCAAGTACTTGTAGTTGTAACTTTTTTAACTGCTGTACAAGGAGATGATATTCTGAAATGTTTGTCTCCTTCAGATAGTGTACCCACTCCTTCTTGCTCCGTGTCCGATCCATGTCATTAAGCTTCTCATCCAAACTAAGAGTGAAGGATCTGTAACATGTTCATTCCTTCTGTCAAAATCAGCTTTTTTAAAAGGGCGTGTATGTGACTTCTGGGGCTTTTGCAGCCAACCTCAAGTGGACACTTTTGATACTGCAGTTTTTTGTTTTCCTGCATTAGCTTGGTTTTTTAACTCAGGAGGTTGCCGCTTGGTTTGTGCTGGAAACCTTTATCTTTTCATACTGTTTTTTTCTCTTTCTTCTTTTGTGCTGTTAAAACAGAGAGCTTTATGGCCAAGCAAATGTTCAAATCACTCCAACTCTTAATCATCCAGTGTGGCAAAGACATCTTCAATGTTTGATTTTAAATTGTCATTTTAAAGCTATCCTCTTAATAAGTAAGTCTTTAATAAGTAATAAGTAAATAAGTCTACGTGCATTGATATTCAAAAATGTAATTTGTGACATTCATTTTTCTTCTCAGATAAAACTATCTAGGTATCAAAAACTATCATAAAACTACCTAGGTAACAAAATATATTTAATTATACACATATGACTTTAAGAAATGTGTTAGCAAGATACATACACAAATGAATTGGACTATCATAGCTTTTTATCGGACTGGGTTCAAGCGGTTGTATCACTGACCTAAAAGGTTGTGACAGATTCACTGCACACTGTACGATGTTTCCTATAAGGTCACACTGCTGCCTTCACCAGAGAATCTGCAAGTATAAGCAAACAAAGTCACGCAGCTCTCTTATGTAACTCTTTACCTGATATGATATTTAATTTTCATCTGTGTTTTTTTTTTTTTTCAGTGACTGGAATGTGACTGTTTCCAGATGAATGTGATCTATTTTTAATATTTGTGGCTTTTTATGATGATTGTGTTCTAACCCTCCCCTCCTCTTCCTCTCCTCAGGGCGCTGTGCCAGCTGTGGAGAGAACGTAGTGGGTGAAGGCACCGGCTGCACCGCCATGGACCAGGTCTTTCATGTCGACTGCTTTGTCTGCATGACCTGCAGCACTAAGCTGCGTGGCAAGCCTTTCTTCGCTGTGGAGAAGAAGGCGTACTGTGAGCCCTGCTATGTTGTGAGTAACTTTTTTTTCTCTCCATCACATCATCTTGCCTCATCGCCTGGTCTTAGCGAACTCTGGTTATTTATGTGTCCATGGTCCATAAGTGCACATAATGATATCAGGGGTGGGTACATTGGCTGCCCTGTGCCAGGAATGTTCATATATATATTCTCTTCAGGCAACCACATTTAATTTCTTCAAAGCCCGCCGTGCTGCCACCCTCACCACACACATCTTTATTTCCCCTCTTTTGTCTTTGTTTTGTTTTTGTTTTTGGTCAAATCATTAAACCGTCTTTCTTCATTTTATGAAAGTGATTTCTTGGAGTTACACAGGGAGAGGAGCATTAGCCTCAATACATTTTTCTCTGACGTCATGCTCATGGTGGCAAGCTCAAGTACTGTTATAATGATGTACTGCTGTATTCCTGCTACAAGTAGTACAAACATACACTGTATGAAACATGGACGTAGTCTCAGTCATTCCACCCATTGATTTCTGAAGAAGCGCTATGAAGCCCAATGATGGCGGCCAACATTATGGAAATTCTATCACAACCTAACTTTTTATCATCTAGCGACAGGCAAAGAGGTGGAGCTATGTCCGGCCTTAAGCGTCCTGACACACAGCTACAACAGGATCACCTGTTAGTCAAGTGAGCCACTCAGCCATTAATATAATCAAAACAGATTTGTTTTTTTAATCACCTCCTGTACAGTTATCACTACAAAGTAAAACATAGCCAAAAACTGTTTGGCATTTACACATTGGGTTTTTTTTTGCAGCCAATCCCAAGTGGATACTTGAAGAACTGCAGGTTTTTTGATACAGGAGGTTTCCGCCTGAGTATGAACAAAAAGAAATCTGACAAACTATAACTATTTCTTCAGTTTTTAATTGATCAGATACTGAAAGGCAATACATATTCAAAATCCAACGGGATATGAGGCCATATACGTTAGATCAATGTATTTTAGGGCCAATAAGCTTCATTTGGACAATAGCTAACTACATCATTCAAACAATTCCTAGATTATCTTACTGTAAAATAGGAATGTATCTCCTGTATAACTTTTGGAAGTTGCTAAGTGCCAACGTAAGCTTTTGCTTTATTAGCTTATGGGTTGTTTACTTTGAAATATGGCCAAAAGCCTTTCCTGCTATTAATCAATCAGGAAGCAGTTGATAACAATCTATCAGGTTCTCTTTGTTAATTCAAAGTGCAAACCCTAAACACAATAGTATTAAATATTCCTTAACATTACAGCATTTTTGCTCGTTACCCTTAGCATGTCGTCAATGGAAATGGCTTCCATCTGAATATGGTAGATGTGGAAGATGCAGTAAATAATGTTAACTACAAGATCGGTGTTCAGTGGTTTGTGTTTGATATCAACGTTTAGGCATTTTCATGTTTCAGCAGGCGCTACTACAAACTTAAGCAAAAGAGCTAGCCAGCTAGTAACAACTCACTGTTGCACTGTTAGCAGTTAGCTTGTAGCTAGCAAAAGGCACATATTTTCATCCACAGGCAGTAAAGAGAATATTGAACTTAAACTGAATTATGGATGAAAACCTACGTGTCAGAAAAGTTTTTGCTAACAATTTAGCCATGTCGACTTTCATAGAAAACTTGATTGATCTGTTAGGCTGTTATCACTAAGCGGTGATGCATGATACATTATTTTCTGAGGATTATCAGATAAGTCTTGGCTGGTGAATCCGATGATTATATTGTTTCATTTGCATTTCATTCAGAGAGATGTGGCATACAAATCAGTGAATGATAAGATGTCAGACATGTCTAAGTTTACATGAGTGTTAAAATCATGAAGGAACATGGTGTAGATGAGATTAACTCTGAGGTGATTCTGTCTGGTTTCTTTCCTCATTTTTGCTCTTTTTAAATCACTCTTCTGCTCAGAAGTTGACCAGATTGAAGAAAGCACTGACAGTAAGTTATCACAGAAGTTATTTTTTGATTTCTGGTGTTTAGTTCCTACAAAAAAATAAAATAAAATAAACTTTGACCTGTTTTCCGGTCACGATGTTGCGCAACACACAAGTATATCCTTGCACAATATTGTTCCAGAGAGACGCATCATCTCGCAATACCATAAGGAAATCATTTTGCGGAAGTATTTCCCTCATTCAGTTTCATTGGAAAATGGTTAAGAATTGTCTTCAGTCAAGTCCCTGAATATGACCTGTTCAAAGTTTCATATTGTAAGCAATACTCCGGGTAATTTTGTAGGTCATTCATGAAACTGAGACTAGAAGCAGCTGTGGAAGGCAAAAAAAAAAACATTACAGTGGACTTTTTTTGGCAATATCTTTAAGGTATTTCCCTTGTTTAAATTTAGAAGTAATTTTAGACTGTTGGATTCAGTTGTTTGCGGCCAATCTCATCAGATTACCAAATAAAGCCAGACAGAAAACGTCTACATTAAAATGGATCTGGAACACATTTTAATAATTAGTCTGTGCACATATGATTGGAGGTAAAACTCTATATTTGATAAAGTAGGCTTGTGTAAAGTTTGTCTCAAGAGGTAGCCGTGCTAAATCACAAAAACTGCCTTAAGTGATGTCAGTTAAGTCACTGTTGGTTGTGGTTCAAGACTTTAAAGTTACATTGTGGGCAACTCAGGCATATTTTATCGACAAGGATTAATCATATTTCATAGGAAGGACTTTATCACCACTTCTGTTGCTTGATATAATCATTTTGTACAAACCCATGTAAAAAGCTGCTGCTTGCTTACAAAACAGCGACAAAAACAGCCCCTCCTTTACTAAACTCTATCATCCAGGTCTACACATGTCTAATCCAACCTTCACAGGGCCCTAAGTCTCTAGCTAGACTTTTCTCCATTGTCGCCCCCTGGTGGTTGAACGAACTACCAAGCTTCATTTGATCTGCAGAGTCCCTTTGCACCTTTAAGAAAAAGCTAAAGACCCAGTTATTTCATGAATACCTACATGATGATGATGATGATGATTGTTTCGTTGGTGATGATTGTGGTTTGATAATGACGTTGATGATATTTATGATGGTTTTGATGATGATTAGAACTCTAAAGAACAGCTGTTGATGTTGTGCTTCGACTTTGTGCACTGCCTGTTAGCACCCGTGTCCAATGATCGGACTCATATCTGTTAGATTACAATTATTGAACGTTGTTTTCTCATTTCTCGATCCTTGCTTGTGTTGTTCCTACTCTCTGATGTATGTCGCTTTGGATAATAGCGTCTACTAAATTAATTGTAGAATTTAGAGCCTGACTGCGATATGATTGTTGAGACACATGCTGATACAGATTTCAAAGGAAAAAAAAGCCAGAAAATACCCTAAAGCATCTGATGTAGTGGCTTTTTCTTTTCCTTTTCTGTGTATTGTGTACTTAAATTTTGTATTTAAACAAATATGTACATGCAGATGTACTCAAAATGCTTTATGTAAAGATATAACTATATTAAAGGACATCTTACATTAACAACCAACAAGTAGTGTGAACCACTGCCTGTTGAGCTGTGAAGCTCTGCTACATTTGCAGCAGACAGTGCTGAAAGTATTCTCAAGTATGTACAATTTCGAAACCATTTCTAAATTATCCCCCTCGGCACTGTTTACTGCACTAATTGTTTTTTGGTATGATGTCACTTCTCCTCCTGACCATGCCTTCTCAGTGAGACGAGGTGGTAAAACAAGATACCGCTGCCTGGACTAATAACAGAAAAGATGGCACTTTTCCACTGATTTAAAGCCATACTAAACACATTCTTCTGCTGCAAAAACTGGATACAATTCTTTAAAAGAGACTAGAACCGGTACTAATGTTAGGTATTTTGGTTTTTGGTTTTGAAAAAAGTTGACAGTATTTTATATCCTTATAGATTTGAACTCATAAGGTAAATGTAGATTTTTCTGAACCAGAACATATTAACAAGTATGAACTCGTACACTTTGTACAATTTCCCTTCACATGAATAGCAGGAAATGTCTTAATATGCACTTTACCAGTAAAGACTTGAAGCCAAACTACATTACATTTAAACTAGTGGCAGGCCATCTCCTAAATCACCCTTTTCAGAGGCACTCACTGTGATTGTAGTTGTCTTGTCTGGAAGTTCTCCAACTCTGATACATGCGCTAAAGAGAGACGGGATAATTTAAGAACTTTATTTATGCATTTCATCAGCATAAATGTTCTTCTGGCACAAGATCAAAAGGATGGGGGAAATCTGAATTTCTTAATGAAAGTAATTTCTTCTTCTTTTATTCCCATCCTCAGGGTCATACGCCTCTGTACGATTAGAGAATGAACGTGAGGGTTGAGTCTCTGAAGAGAAATGTCATCTCCCAGAGAAAGAGAGAAAAACTTCAAGTTAGCCTTCAAGTCAGTCGGTCTAGGAATCACTGAGAGCAAATGAACATAAATCACACAGTAGAAATATGTTTTTAGACTTATGGCTCCTGTACTGTTCTCCCAACCCAACCTGCCTAATTATAGCTACAGCTAAATAAACCCTGATCAACCCTGTGTTTTCTATTTGATTTTATAGAAATGTTGTGAATGGAATAATGAAATGGGTCTTTAATCAGTAGGAAAGTAAAGAAATGTTTGGTCAGTTTTTTATTTGCTCACTTGCCTGGAGTTGGATGAGATGATTGATACAAGGCTCATGTTTATATACATAATAATGAGCTTAAGCAGGGGGTTAGCTTAGCTTAGCATAAAGACTGGTAGCAAAGAGGAAACAGTTAGCCTGAAATCTTTGAAACATTTGAAAAACTTTTGAACCATATATCCACTTTGAATGTGGCCTTTACAACATGAAGGACAAATGTGCGATTACATTCATGTTATACGGAAAAGAAGCCCGATGCCCGTTTCTGACTTTTTGCTGTTGCTCAAAAACTCAAGGGTATAACTTCTGGGATTCAGGAGGCTTCAAGAGAAGAATGGAGGCGGCAGTAGCTCAGTCTGTAGGGACTTGGGTTGGGGACC